GATTGGATTACAGTTTCTTTCTGGGCCAGGTGCGGTGGCTCATGCCTGTAATCCTAGCACTTTGGGAGGCCGAGGAGGGCGGATCACGAGGTCAGGAGTTCGAGACCAGCTTGGCCAACATCTCTACTAAACCCCATCTCTACTAAAAAATACAAAAATTAGCTGGGAGTGGTGGCACATGCCTGTAGTCCCAACTACTCAGGAGGCTGAGGCAGGAGCATTGCTTCAACCCGGGAGGCGGAGGTTGCAGTGAGCTGAGATCGCCCACTGCATTCCAGCCTGGTGACAGAGCTAGACTCCGTCTCAAAATAATAATAATAATAATAATAATAATTTTTAAAAGAAATTAAAATAAATATTTAAAAAAGAAAGAACAATAAAATTTTATGAAGAAAAAAAAACTGACCAGGCACGGTATCTCACTTCTGTAATCCCAGCACTTTGGGAGGCCGAGGCAGGCAGATCACTTGAGGCCAGGAGTTCGAGACCAGCCTGACCAATAGGGTGAAACCCCGTCTCTACTAAATTTACAAAAATCAGCTGGACGCAATGGCTCACCCCTGTAATCCTAGCACTTTGCTAAGCTGAGGCTGGTAGATCTCTTGAGCTCAGGAGTTCAAGATCAGCCTGGTGAAACCCCATCTCTACAAAAAAATACAAAAATTAGCTGGGCGTGGTAATGCATTCCTGTAGTCCCAGCTACTCAGGAGGCTGAGGTAGGAGGATCCCTGGAGCCCAGGACATTAAGGTTGCAGTGAGCAATGATTAAACACTGTGCTCCAGCCTGGGCAACAGAGTGAGACACTGTCTCATCAAAAAAAAAAGTTCACGGCTGAGCATGGTGGCTCACGCCTGTAAGCCAAGCACTTTGGAGGCCAAGGCAGGCGTATCACCTGATATTGGGAGATCAAGACCAGCCTGACCAATATGGTGAAACCCTGTCTTTAAAAAACAAAAACAAAAACAAAAAAAGTTCACTTGTCAGTTGACTTAGTGTTTTCCTTAATGTTATTTATTGTTTTTTTTTTTTGAGACAGAGTTTCGCTCT